ACCCTCCTCAACCCAACGGATCCGGGAGCGAACCTGCGCTCCCTTGGCTGCAGCAAGATCCAACTCAGCCAGGCGGCTTAGCGTAGAGCGATAAGGCTCATAAGCCGAGACCAAACCCTCATCAAAACGAGTCTTTAAATGATCAGAAAGGCGGACCAAGAGATCTCTAGATGCACGAGTCTCCTGAGCCCGCCGAACACAATAATCCTTAGTAAGCTGTCGAATCTCTCTCTTACCAACCTCCCACCACTTGGCGAGGCTAGAAAAGGAAGTCATTTTAGAACGCCAACTACTCCAGAAAGATGTAATTAGTTGAACGTAGCTGTCGTCACCAAGGACAGAGGCGTTCAACTTCCAGAGACCAGGACCAGGCGGGACGACGCCAGGAACAAAGACAGAAACCAAAAGAGCACAGTGGTCAGAAAGGGGACAAGGAACAAAGTCACAAGACGACATAGACGCTACCCAAACATAAGGACAGCCAATCAAATCAATACGCGAAGAAACGGTGCCGTCCGGTCTGGTCCAAGACAAACCTGCCGTGTCAGGGTGAAGATACCGCCAGGCACCAACACAACAAGAGGACTCAAAGAGCGCTTTCAGAGCAGCAGAACTCTCCCTCCAGGTGTCAGAGGAGTCAGAGCCTCTGCGATCCATAGAACGATCGAAAACTGTATTGAAGTCCCCACAAAGGAGTGTGGGGACAGTAGGATCGAGCTCATCAGCAATTTGTTCCAGAAACTCATTCCTTGCAGGGTTGCGGTTCGGGGCATACAAAGAGACTACACGAAAAGACTGATCATGATAGGAAAACTCACACTGCAGGAAACGACCCTCCTCATCAGCCCAAGACTGAACCAGGGACAAAGAAGGACGGAAGAGGACAATACAACCACAAGATTTAACGGAACCAGGCGAGACAACACTTAGGAAACCAGAAGAATTGAACCACGAATCACATTCAGCCAGAGAAGTACAATGAACTTCCTGAATACAGACGATAGTGACTACAACAGATAAGAAACGCAACCACTGCAAGAAACCAGCACGCTTGTCGGCCATACGCAGGCCGTTGGCGTTGATGGTTAAAACGTTTAAGTTGAAGGAAAAGGTAAGAGAGAGACGACTCAAGACCTTCGAGACTTAGGTCTGGAAGGAACAGCAGGGGGCAAGGGGTGCTTGCCCGCAACAAGCGGAGACCTGCTCCTACCCATATTCAGAGGCAAAACAGAACACGATCGACCAGGAGACACCACGACGGGGTTTCCGAGCAGTCCGCTTAGCCGGCAGCGGCAGCACAAAACCATCACGATCCATAGAGTGAATAGAGTCAAGAGAGGACTCGTCACCACTAGGAGCACCACCAATGGAGGCATCACTACGGATTTCACCATCCTCCGAATCAGAATCACTACTGTCACTAGTTTCAGTAATAATCATTTCACCATTGTTACCAATATGTATATATTTTTGATATCATTCTTTATTGAAACAAATTGATATTAATACAGCAAATTAGTTACTTACCTACATAATTATAATGTTACAACTAATACTACTAATACTAATAATATAATACAACAAATTAACACTGATATTTAAACAAACTAGAAATGTTTACAAAATATAATGTTAATAATATATTAATTACATACAGAAAGTGGGTGCATATTAAAACCTTCAAATAGTTAAGCATTTACAAGAGGCGACACTATCCATTTAGCTTTAAAGAAATCCTTTGCTTTTTTACTATGCAGACTTCTATATTTTTCCGTTTCATATTTTACAGCAATTTTCTTTTTAAATCCATATATATTCGGAAGAATTTGACTTCTTCTACAATCCCACAAGTACAATTTCCCAATCATAATTAGATAGTTTAGAAGCTTAGCAGAAGGGGAGTTTTGTCGTATCATTCCAACTAAAACATCTTGCAACGAAAGTCGAATGTTTTCCTTTAAAAGTTGGTGCCAGAATACTTCGAAGTCACGCCAGAAATCTACTGAGAAAGGACAAAGATATAGGAAGTGATATGGCGTTTCTGGTTCAGATGAACAAAAGGAGCACGAGTCATTCAATTTAAAGGCAATTTTGTAAAGTTTAGCATTAGTATAGAGAATGGAGTTAAGAATTTTGTATTGAAATGCCTTAACATATGCTTCAAGAGCAACACTATGCGGGATCATAAAAATTTGTTTAACTTCCTCGAGTGTGAAATGAAATTCATTTTGCAGCTTGTTTACATTAGTTGGAAAGAGAGCCTTTCTGCTTACAAGTAAAGTATAATAGTCTTTAAATTTCTTCTTTGTGACATCAAATATATAATCGTCAATTTTTAGAGAAAGTTCACCTGTTGTTGATTTATGAGTACAAATTTTTAAAATGGAAGGGATAGAGTGTCGAAGACCTGCCCAAACTAAAAAATTAGTTTTAGAAATCTTGTTAGAAACTAAGGAAAAGGATTCTTTGTTATTTAAGTCAAAGGATAGATCGCTGATGTGAACTACACCAGCTTCGAAATAGCTTTTATAATAAACTGTTTTATTATTGAGTCTTTTTCTGAAGAGAACGTATCTGTAAATTCTGACCACCGCTGTAGTAATTCTAGATAGAATAGAGAAATATTCAGTGGAAGGATACTAACATCATAATTGCAATGAAACAAGAAAAGGCCGCCAAAGCATTCTAGATGATGTGTCAGATACCTTTTCCAGGTGCCATCATTTGAGCTAGCTATTCTTTTTAGCCATGCCAATCGAAGCGATATTATCATGCTATCAAAATCAATCATCTTTAATCCTCCGTTGGAGTATTCATTTATCACCGATCTGCGTGTGACTTTATCACGACCATTCCATAAGAATTGAAATAATAACTGGTTTAACTGATTTACAAATTCTTTTGGGGTAGGTATTAAAGATGACACATAAACAAATTTCGGGATTAATAGAGATTTGATAAGTGTAATTTTGCCATAAATAGAAAGTCCTCTAGAGGACCAAATTCTAGTCAGGTTTTTAATACTGTCTAATCTTTCTATGAAATTCTTTTCAAGAAGCAATTTTTGATCATACGTGTAAAAAATTCCTAAAGCCTTTATCGGTTTGTTAGGCCATTTAATTCCAAAAGGCTGTGCTTTGCAGTTCCTTGAAGAACCTATCCACATAGCTTCCGTTTTGGAACAATTAATCTTTAAGCCAGAGACAATCTTGAAATCATCTAACAGCCTAAAAGGAGCAGTAGCAGAGCTTGTGTCGGCAAGTATTGCTGTCATATCATCTGCGTATTGAAGAATTTTTGTCTCCACACTCCCAATAGAGATACCATTGATATCTTTATTTTGTCGAATCGCAATTGCTAATGTTTCTATAGTAACTACAAAGAGGTAAGGAGAGAGCGGGTCCCCCTGCCGTACCCCACGTTCAAGATTAAAGTATTCAGATGAAAGTTCGTTGTTTATCACACAGCTTTGTATGTTTCTGTAGAACGTTTGAACCCAATGGATGAAATTAGGGCCAAAATTGAAGGATTTCAAACAATAGAGAAGAAATTCCCATTCTACGCTATCAAATGCCTTTTCAAAATCAATAAATATCATTAGTCCTGGAATACTTTCTTTTGCAGTGAAATCCATAATATCGAAAACTGATCTAAGTGTTTCGCCCGTATATCGGTCTTTCACGTATCCAGTTTGGTTATGGTGTATAATATTTGGAAGAACATTTTTAATTCTAGTGGCGATCACTTTAGACATAATTTTTGTGCCAACGTTTACGAGAGAGATTGGACGCCAGTTCTCAATATACGAACGATCTTTTCCTTTTTTTTTTTATTAGAATAATTACCGCTTGTTTTTGAGAACAAGACATTTCACCTTTTTCAAAACTTTCGTTCACGCATTTAAGAAAAGGATCGCTTATTAAAGGCGACAACACTTTGTAGAATTCTATAGGAATTCCGTCATTCCCGGGAGTTTTGTTGGTTTGAAAGCTTTCGAGGATATTGTAACATTCCTCAGCTGAAATTTTGCCTTCGCAGGTCAACTTTTGTTCTTCGGTTAATTGAGGTATATTCAAATTCTCTAGAAACTTTACAATGTTCTGATGGTTTTCCGCATCGCTATTTGAACTTTTGTATAACTCTCGATAAAAACGTTTTTGTTCTTGAAGAATGTCATTGGGATCTGTATTTACGACGCTGCTGATTACTAGTTTCCTTATATGCTTTTTTACATGATTTCTTTTTTCTAAGTTTAGGAAATATTTGGTACTTTTCTCGCCGTGTTCATGCCAACGTGCTCGTGCGCGGATTATTCCGTTGACTTTTTCATCATAAAATGATTCGAGCTTATCCTTAGCGGCATTTAAATTGTTGCCTTTCGAATCATTGGGGTTCGTTTCGAAAACCTGTTTCGCTTCAGTATATTCTTTTTCAAGTTTTGATCCTCTTTTGTTTCTCTCCTTTGCCTTCTTTTTGGAATATTTTATAGCATGAGCTCTTATGATTTATTTTATCCAGTCCCAGATGTTACGGTGGTCGGAAAGTTCTTTTCGGCCTTCCGTGATCCAAATTGGTACCATTTTTGTAAGGTCATCAATGTACTCATCATCCTCCAATATGGAGGTGTTCATCTTCCAGAACCCAGGACCCTTAGCCTCTTTGTCCACGTTCCCAAATTCTAAATAAATAGCAGAATGGTCAGTTCTGATGGCGGGGATTATATTTGTGGCTTTGACCCAGTCATGTAAATTGTTAGAAATCAACCAATAATGGTTGATTTAATGAGCGACAAAATATCGGCGGAGATCGTTGACTCCAGGTAAAACTTTTAGTTTGCGGGTTTTTAACTCTCCATATATCTACAAGATCTAGTTAACTTTGGACATTGTCGATGAAATTTATCACAGATTTCCTAGGCGTCATTATTGCACCTTTTTTGTCCAATGTAGGATTCAGAGGACAATTGAAATCACCTCCAATCACAATATTTCCTTCTGAATCTAAATTTTCGGTCTGCAGCTTAGATAACACATTTTTGAAGAATTTAATGATGTCTTCGTCTTTGGTGCATAAATGTTTACAAGAACATACATTTTATCTTTGATAGCGGCTTTAACAATGATATACCTCTCCGATGTATCTACAATTTGAGAGTGAGTAAGGCAATCAAGACCTTTTTTGATTAAGATTGCAACACCTCGAGAGTTTGAGCTCCCATGGGAGCAAATAAGTTCTGCACTCCATTCGTTCTTCCATTTTAACTGTGTTGACAATGTCAAATGAGTTTCTTGCAGGAATATTATATCCGAGTTTCGTTTTCGACACCACGTGAAAATCGTTCGCCTTTTTCTGAAATTGCTTAGTCCCCTCGCATTGAGAGATAGTAGATTAAGAGAATGATCGGTCATTAGAGCTGAATCGGGGAATTGGTATTATAGAAGAAGTCATATAAAATGAAAATGAAGTCGATGGTATAGCAGAGTGCAAGAAAATATAGTGCACATAAACGATAATATTCGCCCTAAAACAAATTATTAATCTACAGAAAAACATACAGTAACATATCAAGTAAGAAGTTTCCAGAGCATTCACATTTCTAATTAAACAAGAAGGGTTAAATAGTTTAACACTTATTACACACATAAACCTTAAACTAAACTTAACTATTGATGTGCTGTCACGCTGTGACCGCTTTGGCTTTGGTTTCCGCTGTTTCTTGTGTCCATAATGAGACCGTAGTATGGGAGATTGGTTGTTTCTTCACCTCTGTAGATTTGCCCGTTTATAATTAGCTTATCAACTTTGAAATAGGCTGTTTGCTTTCTCTGTTTGGCCTTTTTCAAGATGGGATATAACGTTTTCTGTATCTCATCAATTTCCCGGGGGAAATCATTCGCGATTGAAATGTTAGTGTTTTTCAAGTTTTTAACAAAAGACCAAACATACTCCTTGTCTTGAAAGAAGCTAAATTTAGCTATAATAGGCCTAAGTTTGGAGTTCTGTCCTTGACTCGTATTTTTCTTAGTAGGGATGCAGTGAACGCGTTTGAAACGGATCTGTTCGATATCTTCCTCTGGGATCTTAAGTTTATCACGCATCACTTTTTTCAATTGATCTTCAGCAGAAGTTGACTCACCTCTTCCTTCTAGAATATTAAACACTTTTAGATTTTCACGTCTTGTGTATGCTTCTAACTTGATGTTGCGGTACTCAAGATGTTTTAATTTAGCACTGAGATCTTCCAGATTCTTTGCGTGGGTTTCCAGTGTTGCACACGTGGCGGTTGAAGACGAATTTAGGTCGTCGATGTTGGCTTGAGTGGTGTTCAGGCTTTCTTGTTAACTTTTATTTTCTTTTTCCAATTCTGCCACTCTATCTTGCATAGCCTCTAACTCGCCAAGTCTTGTTAGCACTTTGTCGACCTTTTTTCACTGACTTCATCTAGTTTGGCAAAAGCCCCACGACAATGGCCGTCGGTTTCGTCAAACGCATCTTCCCCGTCAGTCTGTGAGCCGCTTTTATTGTTACCAATATTACTTTCACTATTACCATTGTCATTACTAATAACAACTCCATTATTATCATTACTATTGCTACTAATAGGACTTTCACTATTGCCATTGTCATTACTATTAACTGTAACATCATTATCATTACTATTGCCACTAACTATTTCACGTTCACTAATATCACTAGCATTGCCACTATTACTATTACCGTCAATTACTTCCATTTCATTATTTAAGGAATCATTACTAGGTAAATCAGCGCAATTACTTAAATTAACACAATCAGAATTTGGAGCATCAGAACAATTAAATTTTATATTAACAGAATCGGAATTTGGAGCGTCAGGAGAATTAGAATTTAAGGCCAGGCCGGCCAACACACTCTGACTCGCGTCAGTAGAAGCCTGTAAAACCACCGTAGCCCCCTCAAGAGAGTCAGGGCCAGCACTAGCAGCAGAAGCAGAAACAGAGCCAGGGGCATCCTGACTGGACAACTCATCCAGTTGGTTGTCCCTCAAGTCAACCGACCCTCCTTCCTGACCGTCAACTGGAGCGCCAGATGTTCCCTGAGCATTGGCCTCACCCCAACCCTCACCATTACGACCAGGACATTTGCGGGCAAAATGCCCCTCCTCCCCACAGAACCGACACTTCTTCCGCATTGGGCATACCCGCGAAACGTGGCCTGCACCACAGATGTCACACTCGATGGGCTGCCCCCTGTACCATACCTTAGCCGACCAACCCTCCACAGCGATATGCCTAGGGATAGGACCCTTCCGGACCATACGTACAACACGAGTCCCAGGATGGACTGTGGAGTCGGGGTGCAGCTGATGAGGAATGCCCTCCACTTCCCCATACTCCTGCATTGCAGCCTGAATCAAACCATTATCCAGCTCATAGGGGAGATGGAAAATGAGAACGGACTCCAAACTAGGCCCACCCCCAACCACTTGGCAAGGGTAGCCCTCAATGTCAACTTCAGATTGTCGTTCAATGGAAGTTTTGGCTTCCACGGAGTCAAAGGTTAACTGAACCCGCATACCCGGCAAAAACTGTAGAGCCAACAATTTCCAAGTACCAAAGCGCTCAGCAAGTATGCGAATAAGTTCGGGCCGAGAAACGACCTGGGGAATACGCCCCACACGCAACATAACCGTCCGACGCATCGTGGGACGCGGCATCACAATAAAAAAGAAAAAAGAACCCAACGGGGTTAAGCCCTGACGGGCGGGGAACCAAACAAGACGGGCGACCCGAAAAAAGACCCCAACGGGGTTAAGCCCAAATGGGCAGGGCCCAAAAAGGAACGGGCGACCCACTAAAGACAATGAATGCACAAAGACTTACGCGAATCGAGGCTTAAAATGTCCACAGTCCAAGTACAAGAAGCTTGTGCTCAGCAAAGTGGCTACCAATGAAGGCAAACACCAAGACCACGACCAAAAACGGGAGCAGGTAGTCATGATGGACCAAACACGCCGAAAAAGGCCACAGCGACACTCACCAAAGCCAGTTCACCAACCAAAAAATCACAGCACAAGGGTAGAGTTTCCGCGTCGCGACTTAGAGCGTCAGGTAAGTTTTTTTTTTTTTGTTTCGAGGCGGGCATCCAAGGCAGAGTGCAATACCAAGGCACCCATTTTACAACAAAGAACACGGACACAAGACCACATCACTGAACGACACCGGACTGTACATTACAAGTTAACGTGCCTCAGGATGGGTGCACAAGCACGCCAAAAGTCGCCGGGGTAATGAGCCCCGCCACCCCTTACAGAAACACACGACAGGACAAACAAAAACAAGGCAAGACGGCACAGCAGGACAAGTTAAAAGACGCGAGAGACACTATCTAACTGCATTATCTAAGGCTAACTGCAACCAAAAAATCAACAACTACGACCAAAAAATCAACGACCGAGAGACACCCCACGAAACTGATGGCGCGCTATCTGATGGTACAAAAGGGCCAGGCAGCAACGCAGAGGCCAACGTCCAGTTAAAACAAAAACAAAAAGAAAACAACAATGGAAATTCAATTTAAACAACGCCAAAGTACACCAAGAGACTAATACAGAGACGGTCACCCACCAAACACCAACCCCGCCCAGCAGGGCTTAACACAGGTAAAGAAACCGAGAGCCCTAACCAACAGCGCCAGACCACCAAGAGACAACAAATAAACCAAAATTACAAGAGTCAACAAAACAGACAGAAATACAAAGGGCAATTTAACAACACCAAAGAATAATTTAACAACGCCAAAGTACACCTAGGGACAATTTAACAACGCCAAAGTACACCGAAGAAACATAAGCAAAATACAAAAGCAGAATAGCAAAGTCACAAGTGAACAACCAACTGACCATCCAGTACGGAAGCTACAACACCATAAGCACCCCACTGACGAACAAAATAGCGACGGCGACGAGACGAACGGAAACGCTTGAAGAGCAGGGGAAGGTGAAAACGAACCCGAGCACACAAGTGAGCACACACGATACCAGAACTGGGAACGATGTCCCGGAAACGATAATCGTTACAAGCCGACCACAAGAAATACTTGCACACATTAAGCATACACACAAACCCACGAGGGACAACACGAAGTTCGTCACTGTTAAAACCAAACAGCACGTGTTGACACAACAAAGACGGAATGAGGGCAGAACAGCGGGACATGAGGGACTGAAGCCAGGATAGCACAGCCGGAGCAAGCGGACACGAGAAAAACAAATGTTCCAGAGACTCGGCCGACAAGGGATTACAGAAACAGGCAATGGGGATATGAGACATCCCAAAAGTAGAGACAAGGCGCTGCGCCGTCCGAAGAACCCCCTGGGCAATTTGCCATGAGACATCAATCACTCGGTGATTGAGACTAAAACAAAACAGCTGAGCCCAGGTGGAGGGCCAATAGAGAGGGCCGAACACACGACCAAAGCTTACTACACAAGCTGGCTCGTGACGGCGAAACTCCAAATGGAGAGAGTAAGTGGACTTGGTTGAGACTACCGAGACATGAGCACGAACTGAAGAAGAGGCCACAACGAACGTATCAGCAGGAGCAAAGAAACCGCCATCCAGGGCGACCCAGGCAGACAAGACTGCCTGATAAAAGGGAGGCAGGGAACTTAAGGCGACACGTCGCGGGTAAGACAAGAGATCACCCGGCGTAGAGCCATACAAAACACGCGCATAATAGAACAGAAACTGCATCCAAGCAGAGAAGCGCCTAACGAAGCGACCAACCCACTGAACATGAAGGGCCCACACTTTCACCTGGACGGATACTAAGGAGAAACCGCCAAAGTCCGGGGGCTGAATAACAACATCCCTGGCAACGAGATCAACTTTACCACCCCAAAAGAAGGGGAAGATCAACCTATTAAGAGATGCCAGCACCCAAACAGGCGTCGGGATCAAAGATGCCACATACCAAATACGAGAAAGAGCTAAAGCGTTAACAACAACAGCCCGTCCCCGAAAGGATAACCTCCGTAGACGCCAAGCCTAGTTCGCCAGTTCTCCTCTTCCAAATCAGAGGGGCTGATAAAAACCCCTAATACTTTGACCCACGCAGACGACCACTGTAAATCTCAGGGAGGATCAACACGACCACTCCAGCCACCTAGCCACAGACCCTTACATTTACCCAAATTAAGTTTTGAACCAGAACCCCTCTCAAAAGCTCGATAGGTCGCAAAGGTAGCAACAATAGCAGCGTCATAAGTAACGATGACCGACGTGTCATCTGCGTACTGGGAAAGGACAGGCAGAGGTGTCGGAGAGCCCGGCAGGGAGAGACCAGTAATAACGGGGTTCGAACGGATGTTACAAGCTAGGACCTCCGCATAAAGAACATACAATAGAGGCAAAAGAGGGCAGCCTTGCCGAACACCACAGGAAAGACCGAAAAAGGGGGTGACAAAACCGTTAACCTTAACAGCACTCTGGACACCGGTGTAAAAAAGATCAACCCAGCTAATAAAGGAGATACCAAAGCCCATGCAGACCAAGGTGGAGCGCAAGCTCCAATCAACACGATCGAACGCTTTCCCCTGGTCCAAGGACAGAATTGCAACAGAGGACCCGCTAGTGGAGGCAAAATGGGCAACCTCCCTTAACAAAGAAACACTATGACCAATGAACCTGCCCGGCACACCACACGTCTGATCCTCGGCCACTACAAAGTGAATCACTTTAAGGAGGCGTCCGGCTATCGCACAGGAGGCGATCTTATAGTCAACATTAAGAAGCGTGATAGGCCTCCAATTGCAGGGTCAAGGCGATCCCCTTTCTTGAAAGTGAGTGTGATGAGGGACTTTCACGCCTTTGGGACTTAGCAAGAAAACCGGCCTGTTGACAAAAATTTAAAACCTCAACTAAGTCCACCCCAAGCACACCCCAGAATTTCAGATAAAACTCCATCGGAAATCCATAGATACCCGGGGCCTTACCCCTCGCCATACCCGACAAAGCAGCAAAGCACTCAGCAGCAGAGAGCGGACCCTCGCAGTCACCAACCTGATCAGTGGGGACTCTATCAGATATTGGACAGGAGGGACGCCTGCACAGTAAGGTCGGTCTCCTCCTTCGAAAAAAGGTCAGCGTAAAATGAGGACAGAACAGACTGAATGCCCTCAGCCCCAGTATACACAACATTGTCCGAACCCCGGAGGGCAGTGATACAACTCTCACTACGGTGCTTCTTCTCTAGCTTGCAAAAATACGCCGAGGAGCATTCACCCTCCTCAACCCATCTAACTCTAGCCCGCACGCGAGCCCCTTCTGCATCCACAAGATCAAGTTGCTTAAGCTCCGCAAGAGCCGCCTGATACGGGCCAACACAATCAGAGTGACCGCCGTCTACCCGCCCCTTGAGATGAGAAACAAGCCAAACTAAAAGGTTACGGCGATTACGGAGACGCTCGGCTCTATTCTTGCAATAAGTCACTGTTAGGCCCTTGATCTTTGACTTAGCGACCTCCCACCAATCCATGACCGTTACAAAATCAGATTTCTTCTCACGCCAAGAAGCCCAGAAAGAGGATATCACAGCAACATTTTCAACAATCGCAACATTACTTTCGTTAACAGTAATATCATTGACTTCATTTGATCTTTCAGTACTATTATAGTAAATAACTTCATTAACTCTTTCAGTACTATTGTTAATAACTTCATTTGATATTTCAGTATTATTATTAACTTCATTAACTCTTTCAGTACTATTTGCACTACTATTATTAATAACTTCATTTGATCTTTCAGTACTATTAACACTAATATTCTCATTACTAAAGTTTAATTGCTCATTACATACTGCAGTATTTTCATTATTCTCTAATTCAGAATTAGCAAGAAGAGAGGCAAACTCTTGGCTGTTGGTAAAACAAATATTGGAAGTAGAATTACTCCTTTTAGCAGATGAGCCCTTATCTTTCCCGGCTCTTTTGGAGGCCCTTTGGTTGGACTCCCCAGAAGACTCACCACTGACAGGGACTAAGTCTTGCAGAATCGACTGACTCTGCATAAGATCAAGCTCGTTATCCTTAAGGAGCTGAGAGTCGGAAGAAACCCGAGAGACATTGGCCTCCGCAGACTGCGGGGATGAGGCCAAGGGCGGAAAATCTGCCAAGTCTCCCGCTGACCCGTCAGAAGTACAATTCCGAGCAAAGTGCCCAGATTGCCCACACTTTCTGCACTTATCCTTGTTGGGGCAGTTTGCCGATCTGTGGCCCTGAACGGCACAAAGATTGCAAACAAGGGGTTGGCCACGATACCACAAGCGACACAGATAGCCATCCACCATCAGAAAGCGGGGTAGTACCCCGGATAAAACAACATCGACAAGCCTGGTACCATTAAAGATGTTTTGGTTGGAAAGAAAAGTCTGCTTTTTAACAGACTTGACTGCACCATAGGCCTCAAAAGCAACCTCCAAAGATCTATCATCTTCCTCGAACGGAAAATCGAAAACGTGCACACACGTAACGTGGGGACCGCCCCCCAAGATAGAGCACCACAAACCGAAAAGATGCTTTCCCGAAAACGATTTAGCCGCCCGAAAGTGCTCCGGAGAAGCGAAGGTGACACGAACGACCTCGTACGCAATCTGGACAGCCTTGACGTCAAGGCCGGCAAAAACCCGAAGAACTTCGGTCAAGATCTCATCTTTGGTTTTGTCGGCCAGCTTGCGGCCGACCTGCAAGCTAATGGTTTTTGGTAGGCGCATTATAGCAAAAGCGAAGAAGCAAAAAGGCAAAAATGCGAAAAGCGAAAAACCAGCAAAGCACAAAAAGATTAGAGTCGAAAGACGCTAATCCACACAGCAAAAGCGAAAAAATAACAATCGGTGGCAAAAGGACACCAATTGTAACAAGATAAACAATTAATGTCAAAGACGCTAATTGAAAGTATAAAAACAAAAAGAAGATTAGACTCCAGAGGACACCAATCTACAAAAACAGAGAAACAATTAGTGGCAGGAAGACACTAATTGCAAGAGAAAAAATGTAGTTGGCGCAAAAGCCAATTACCAGAGGACCAAGTAATTTGTGTCCAAAGGACGCCAAAAAACTAACGACCCAAAGCAAAAGCTATATACAGCACGGCGAAAACAACTAACTACTAGAAAAAGTAAGTGAGAGAAAAAATACGAAAAGGGAAAAACTTACCAAAAGTTAAGTCCTGATGGAGGTGGAACCCAAAATGACGGGCGCCAGTAGCCACTCAGGAACGAAAACGGATAAGAGCCAAGACCACTCACCAAGCGTGACCCTAACGGGCAGACTACCAAGTAAGAGGCAGCGGAAAAACTGCTTTCCTCTTAGGGCCCTTGTGGTAACTGCGC